TGTTGTTTAGCTCTGATGAAGCTCTACCCATTGGGCCCACCAGTGAGACACCCCCCACCCCCCATCTGAAAGGGGGGTGTCTGAACATAAAAAAAATGCTTAAAACTCAAAAAACTATTCAACACGGGAGCTTTAGATTATTATTATTTATTTATTATTTTTTTTGTTTAGCACTGATGAAGGTGTTTCTGTCGGGCCCACCAGTGAGCCCCTTGGACACCCACTCAAAACAAAAAATTCAGATGCACCTAGCAATATGAAATTTGGTAGAAATAGAGATATGGCCGACCTATGCTGCGCCAGCCAATGGTTTTTACCATGGACTCGATATTTGAGGAGAGAGCTCCATCTGAAAAGGGCATCTCCGGCTGGACAAACATAAATGCTTATATCTCAAAAACTATTCAGCATAGGAGATTCAGATTTTTTTTGTTGTTTAGCTCTGCTGAACGGTTATCCATCAGGCTCGCCAATGAGCATCCCCACCTCTGAACCCCCACCAAAAACAAATCTGTTTTGGTGAGTTCTGAGTTCTAGTGTATTGGTGCTTTTGCTTATGTGCAGTTTTTATATGCTACCACTATGCAGTATCTAGTTTCCGCCATTTTTAACTTAGGACAAATTTCCTTATCTAGTTAAATGAAATTGGTTAGTGACAAAAACTGAAAAGCACCCATTTTCTTAGTTTGAAGTACAAATTTTTGCCATGAAAGAAACCAAAGGATCAGATATCAGAGTTTTAAAGAAGTTAACACCAATTGGAGGATTTTGCTCCTATTACTGATAAAATCCTGTACAACCTTTTGGAATTTAACATATTTTACAATCACAACATTCAGAAATACATAAATCTGCAAGATTATTTCGGGTAGATAATCAAAAATTAGTTTCTAAATAAAAAAGGTGACATCCATTACTACTTTATAGTTGGTTGGCACAGTTAAGACTTAAGAAGAACTACTTACAGACTCTACAAAATCTTGAGATGGGATATCATCTGCAACAAGGCCACGTCCTGTCAATGGTTTCAGCTTCATGTTCAAATTGCTTAGCATGGTTTGTGTTTAAATGCTTTCTAATTCCTGAAAATGTGTCAAAAAATATGGCAAAAACCTCCCAGAGCACATTTTAGGTTAGGACACCAGGTTGGGTTACCAGGACAGAAACCATGACTCAATTACATATTCCAAACAAGCATGTTGRTACGAACAAAATGTTTCAGACAAACAAAACAAATCCTTCCCATAGTTCTGTAAATTTACTAAGTGAAATGGAAAAAAATCTCAAAACAGTATCACAATAGACAAGAGTAAAATAGAAAAATATTCTACCGTAAGAAAGTGATCACACTTATGGGCAAACTTGTTGCTCATTCCATCCACCCACCCATTTTCTGTACACGCTTCTTTCCTTTTCAGGGTTGCGTGGGTCACTGGTGCCCATATCCAGCAGTCACAGTGCGAGGGGCGGGGTACACCCTGGACAGGTCGCAAGTCCATCACAGGGCCTGTTGCTCATTCCAAACTGATTACTTCTTTGCTTAGTTAAGTAGCCTAGCCCGTATCTCTGCAACACGTGGAGTCTCATGAACTTTACCAACATCTATGTTGTAGACGGTTGTTTGTATAAAGACAAACATGTTGTGGAGCATTTGATTATAAACAGTGCCAAGTACAAAGTGAGCCTTAAAAAGTTCATCAAAAGCTCCAAGAGAACTGGCCGACTTGCATGGTATGACCTGCTTGTCCAGAACAATAAAAAACTCATGAATGGTGCTCTTCTTTGTTCCAACAGCAAGTAGATATGGTTGTGTAGAGGAGCTAATGGCATCSACATGTTCCTGGATGTTTGTTCCACTCTGAGAATAAAAAGAAAGGAAAATAAAGGAAAAATAATGAGTTACAAAATTTGTCAAAAATAATTGCTGAAATGTTTTGTGTCAAGATTCAAATCACCCACACCCCGTAACACWCAAGAAAACATGGCAATAAAAAGAAAATAATGAGTGTTTTAAGTTATCATTGAATGAAACCAATTCTGTCCAAGAATATCAATTTCATATTATGAAAAGAATCATACGACGAGGGGAGAGAGAGGGAAAGAGGATGATATTTATTTTGAAAACCAAACAAAACAAACCTTCTTGAAGACCACAAGGTGCTTCTCGGCTTGGGATGCAGAAACCTTGCCAGGCCTTTTGCGACCTTGACAGGAAGGAGGAATCAGGTGGAGAAGGAGAATGATGGAAGCAAGATCACTGTCCCAGTCTGTGGGAACAGAAATGACATCACATAATAATACATTTTTAAAACTTGCAACTGAAAAATAAACTATTCCTTTAAAGCTAAAACTTAATGTAGGCAATCTAATTATGTAAATTGAAAAATGCTTTACTGTCCCTGATCACTATTATTAAATTTTGAAAAGTACAAGTTCTATAGGACATACCAGAGGTACGGTTGGCCTCCAATTCCTCACTTGATGCTCCTTCAGCACAATTGATCAGTTCTTCAAGGTCATTTGAAGTAGGGAGAGTCTTGCTCAGCTGGATGACTTTCTGCTTGAAAAAAGTAGGCCATCTAGAGCAAAAATAATTCTATAATCAGGCACATGTAACAACGAGAAACAAAATTTTCAAAAATATAATACACTGAAAATAATCACTGCAAAGAGTACACTATCTTGTTGATGAATGATGTGACATAAAAACAGAAGTATTTCAATGTAGAGTAATTAAATCCAGAGTTCGTGCAACAAATAAACCTAGATACCACATAGTGGTAGTATATATGACCAGTGTTAGGTGCAGCCGTTTTTGTGCTACCGGTGACCAAAGATATTTGRMAAAAAAAAAAAAAAAAAARACAGTACAAAACAGTACGACCCCCGCTTTGTGTAGTGGTGGGTATAATAAAATATGGACACTAAACCCATGAAAGATGGGTGGGGAACTGGCGGTAGCTAGGTCTGAGCCACTTATCGATTGTGTCTCAATTTAGGGTTTGGAAATTCAACACAGACTGAAGAATTAGTTCTTTAAAAAGTAAAGCATGGTGACCCACAAGGCCAATAGGAAATACTGAGATTTATAGCAAAAAAGTTGGCACAAACCTCTCCAAAAACCTGGAAGCTATATCTTCTCCAAATTCCAGAATGAAATCTTGATCAATCTAAATAAATGACAAAAAAGCATACTTACAACRTAACACAAAGGCAAAACTATCTCTAGATCTTTGTTTCAAGGCCAGGTATGTTGAGACTGTTCAAAAAGGTCTTTTGAATACAATTATGCTTCTGAAAAAATATATTTAATGCACTGAACGATTAAGTCATGATCATAAACAAACATCCATCTTTGATTTAGGTTTTAATTTAAAGCTTTTTAAATTACAATCAATTTGTGACCAGCCAAATTTAGGTCACGCATCAAAAGTAAAAACTGTGGAAAGTGCACAAAATGAGTATAGAAAATTTTTCAACTATTTTAGGGTGTATTCACATCATGAAAGYCCTTTGGTCCACTTGTTTGGTCCGGACCAAAAGCGGACTTTATTTTTTCTGCTTGATGCAGTTTGCATTCACATTGTGCTTTTTTGCAAACAAACTATAACTTGTAAACAAAGCCATGAGGCTGACGATCATTGCTCCCACTGGACAGAAAGGACGGGGGCGGGACTGAGCGCACAGACCCAGAAAAAAAACATGGAAGTCCTACGCGCTGCAGTTCTGATGTGCACATTTATTCTGATAACTGCAATGCCATTTAAAATGTCAAAAGCAGCTAATTTAATGGTGGTTTTGAGATATTCAAATTTTGGAGTGGCGTCAGTAAATGTGTGCCGCAACCCAAAGGAGATTAGGTGCTCTACGTGTTCTGACCCACTACATGCTGACAGCAGAGCTGCTGCAGGAGACGTGAATCAGGTATGATTGCAGTTAGCCATGGTGGCCCGTARAGTACAAAAAGGGGAATGTTTTACGTAGTTGGTTTGGTTCGAGTTCGGTCTGTATTCACACCAGAAACGAACCGCACCAGAGTTCATTYRGAAGCGGACCACATCAAAAAGYRGGTCTCGGTCCGGTTGTTTGATCCGCACCAGAGTTCACATGAGTGTATTCACACCTGCACAAAAGGTCCGGACCAACGCTGGAAACGAACTCTGGTCCGTTTAAAGCGGACCAAATGTGTCAGGTGTTAGGGTGTATTCAGACCAGGAAAGTCCTTTGGTCCAATTGTTTGGTCCGGACCAAAAATGGACTTTTTTTGTTCGTTTGGTGCGGTTTGCATTCACATTGTGCTTTTTTGCAAATGAACTATAACTTGTAAACAAAGCCATCAGGCTGACGATCATTGCTCCCATTGGACAAAAAAAGGACGGGGGCGGGACTGAGCCACAGACCCAGAAGAAAACAAGGAAGTCCTGCGTGCTGCGGTTCTGATGCTCACATTTTTACTGATAGTACAACTGCAATAAAATTTAAAATGTCAGAAGCAGCTAATTTAAYGGYGGTTCCGTGATGATATTCTAATTTTGGAGCGGTGTCAGTAAATGTGTCCCKYRACCCAAAGGAGACGAGGTGCTCTGCGTGTTCTGACCCACAACATGCTGCCAGCAGAGCTGCTAACAGGAGACGACGGAACAGGTATGATTTCAGTTTATTTAGCTCAGCAACGGTGGCCTGTGAAGTCCAAAAAGGTGCATGTTTAATGCAGTTGGTTCGGTTAGAGTCCGGTCTGTATTCACACCAGAAGAGAACTGAAGTGAACCGCACCAGAGTTCRTTTTGAAGCGGACCGAGACCACCTCAAAAAGCAGGTCTTGGTCCGGTTGTTTGATCCGCACCAGAGTTCGCATGAGTGTATTCASACCTGCACAAAAGGTCCGGACCAACGCTGGAAACGAACTCTGGTTCGTTTAAAGCGGAGCAAATTATCAGGTCTGAATAYGACCTTAATACGACCTAAAACAAATTTCTTCTTAAAGAACACATTATTTTTACTAACATTAACTCACACTTGTATGCCAAAATGTTATTTTTTTTTGTGCAAGATTTACCAAGCCTTTGACATCTCTGAAGCAAGGAAATTCAGTCAAGACATTAGAAGATCCCTTTTCGTCCAGGACCATCTTGCGACGATAATAAAACGTCATCTTCATCTTGTTCTTGATAGTGACCTCATCAGAAGAACATTTCATGAAGGAAATGACCTCCTTACATTGTTCTTCACTTAGGGTTATCTCAGGGTTAAATGAAGCATTTCTTCTGGCTGTTGGTCCACCCCCAGTCAGACATGATGACCTTCTCCCTTCTGATGACCTCCCTTCTGATGACCTTCTCCCTTCTGATGACCTTCTCCCTTCTGATGATCTTCTCCCTTCTGATGAGTTGTTCTTCCTCTGGATGGTTTTAAGCCTCCATGCTAAGTAACCACTGCCACCTTCCCCATAATAGAAATGTTCCTTTAAAATAAAACATGTTATTTTTAGTATGAGAACTGCCGCTTTTGGGTCAAAAGACAAAGATAATTGAAAACAACTTGTGGGGTCTAAATTATTTGGGTACATTTCTTGGTAATATTAAAACAATTTCAGAAATACTAACCAATAAATTCTATGAATCACACAGTAATCTCTGAAGTTCCATTCTATTCAATTTAAATTGTGTTTATTCTTGTTTTAAAAAGAAATTGAAAATTTGTTTTTTTATTATTCACTGTCCTCTGTTTTATGGTATAATGTATTTTATGGTCAAGGGACCAATCTTGCATATTTACGTTAATGGTGATTAATATGCACTGTCCCCTTTTACATAGAAAATCAGAATCAGAGCCCATAGCCTTACACTATTTCTTTAACTTTCGCAGGATGGCCTAAAATAATAGATATTTGCTTATTAACTACCAATTAGTAACAATTAACTATTGGGTAAATTTTTACGTCTTACATATCCATTTTTGGAATATGGATCCCGCAGGTTTGGGAACATTTCAATTATGCCTTGAGCATACATCTCTCTCACATGCCGTGGTGGTGCTGTCCTGAAAAGAGTAAAATAAATATATTTAATGTCTGACAATAACTTTCAAAACAATAAATTTTGCTAAAACTACTACAGCTCTTTAAGAAAAATGAAGTTACCCATGAATTTCRCTCATGTCCGCAGCGAGAATGTTAACTAACTTTCGTCGTGAGCAGTCTGTGAGGCTTTGTGACCGCATATATTCCTTGATAATTTGATCTCCACCTGGTTTCCTGGTCAGTGCTAATTCAACTAACTGTTTGCAAAGAACATATGTTGAACATGCGTTTTTGCATATTAAAAATTACAACAAAGGTAATTTAAGGCATTTTTTTCCTATCACTGGCAGAAAACTAAAATCGATACCTGACCTCTTTTGCAGTATTCTCCATCCATTTCATTTTCTGCCGTTTACTGGGAGGACCATTATTCTCATTGTTGTTGGGTTTATCAGAGCTGCATGCTAGAAGTTCCAGGATGGCATCAGAGTCACAGTGTGAGAGCTCTGCTGCTGAATCAGTTTTATCCACTGGGCTGTGGGATAATGATGCCTCCAGGTTACAGTGAGATGACAGTGACCCTTGAGCAAAGTTGGACACAGTTCTCTCTGAAGAAGCTAGAGGTCACAAGAACCAGTAGAGATAAAAATAAATAGTTTGCATTGGTCAACTCTCCCCAGCATTTCAGAGTACTGAGTTCATAGTCCGAAATCGGAATAGAGAAAAATCAAACTTACCATCACAAAACATTATAGTAAATACACCAATGCTGGGTTGCTTCAGCAGTTCCTCAAATGTGTCTGCATCCACCTCAGTTCCAGTGTCATCAAAAACTCTGACACGCCCATGGACAGGTGGAATGGAGAACTTAGTGAAAGCTTAGGAAAAAACAACATAAAATAATCACTCTACRTAAGTTAAATAGACTTTTTGCAGTTTTTATTATGAACCAGGTTATGGGCAGAAATGTTAAGTAAACCTTAAAATGCTTTAAGCCCCTTTGCTCACTGTAAACAAAGACTACCCATGAGATAAATAAGGCCCATGAGATCCTTGGTCTGGTTAGGTTTATAATGACAAAAACATTGTTTGTTTCTATTTGAGTAACTCAGGATGCAAGACTGTAAGGCCTGATTCACACAGCAAGATTTAAAAATTGTTGGTTTCAAAAACTGGTTGATTTTCAAAACCTGATAGACCCCACAGGATGATAAAACATCATTGATAAAACAGGTTTGGTCTTACAGTGTGTGGTGTACAGCCACACAGCAAAGACAACACACCACACAAAAACAGATTTCAGTCACGAACATTCAGATGACAGAAGATAATTTTCGAGTGACCTCTCATATACTTATATACACAGACTGCATATATATACTACAGTCTGCATCTCGCCTGCAGGAGAAGCTCTTCTTCTCTCGTTGTGTCACCGCTTCCTGTGCTGGAGGCCTCGCTGGCCCTCCAGCTTCTACCGTGCTTGCATCARCTTCTGCTTTTTAAACTTCACGAGGAAACCTTTTTGGGKTTTTTTTGGAACTGAGCCATCAGCCGTGTTTAGCCTGCAGTTAGTGAGCGCCATAGATCTGCTCCTGACGAGGCCCCGCACTTCCAGGCCGGCCTTAGCTGCTAGAAGCTGGCTAAGACTAAGAGCGAGTTCACCTTTGCCCTGAGTGCGACATCACTGGTCCTCCAACAGCTGCCTGGGTAAGAGGCTGTGTGCATTTCTCCTACGTCTGGGCGAATGTCCGGCTCACTTGGGCTCACGGACCACAAACATAATTAAATTTTTATAGCTTTATTGTTCTCTCTTTTCTCTCTCTCTCTTCACTGATCTACACACATTAACTAAAATACACATACACACCCACTCACACACACCAAAGCGTTTTAATATCATCATCAGTAGTTATTGAAATCCTACAATTGTTTAGTTATTTAGGTGTCACAACGAGAGCGTTAGTTAATTGTCACTCAATTGTAATCCCTTTATTCAATTTTAAATAAAAGCCTGGTTGCGGTGCAACAGTCATAAAATTACATAAAGTCTCATTTATGAGTTTTCTGGTGAACTTTTGGTGATAAGAGTATTTTCCATAACTTGGGCTTTGAACCTAAAAGGTAACTACTATTGAAGTCTTTATTGAAGTAGTTAAGATTGTAATAGGGGGTTATGCTACATTTTTGGTATATCAGTGCACAAAGCAAGGTCCATAAAGACATGGATGTCAGAGTCTGGTGTGGATGAACTTGACTGGCCTGCACACACTCCTAACCTCAACCTGATACAACACTTTGGGATGAATTAAGAGCAGAGACTTAGAGACAGGCCTTCTGTCCAACATCAGTTTATGACCTCACAAATGAGCTTCTGGAAGAATGGTCAAAAATCCTCATAAACACTCCTAAACCTTGTGGAGAGCCTTCAGAACAGTTGAAGCTGTTCTAGCTAAAAAGAGTAGTGAAAATCCTCCACCTCAGACGTTCAGAGATGTAACTATCTGCGATACTGTGGTCACTCGCCTTGTAGCATC